TTTGTTACCAATAGCAGCATCAACAATGAAGAGTATCATAGGAGAGAAAGAAGAAAGTAAAAAACACTGCTGATAAAAGGTTATAGCTCCTACAAGGTGCTGCATGTATATTATTATTTCATAAGTGATCAGTATTCCATCGCAGTAACACCACCATCCACTTCTTAATCCATAACAGAGATTAGAAATCTTAAAATTTGTGTAATCCATACAATGGATTATACAGGCAGCTAAGAGTGTTACCCCTAATGAAGTTCTCTCCTCTACTGTAGAATATTAAACGGAAGGAGATTATAGAGGGTATTTTATTTTTTTATAATTTGTTTTATCGGTGGCAAAGATTTTAAAATCCAGTTACATATTGTCAGAATATATAGTCACCCATTTGACTGACAGCATATTATTTTATCTATGATACTACTAAAAACAATAATGGAGGACTGCAGTACAGTACGAGTCCGGTGGGACATCTGGGCAAAGATCCAGGATCCTGAGGATGACTGCAGGACATCAAAAATATTGGATGTTCACAAAAGTACTAGCTCCTGTGCAGTACCCCCCATCCATTGATAAAAGGTCGAGTGTTAACAATATTTTAGAGATCAATGATATAAACGAGCATTTCAACAGAGTATATAGACCTGACTCAAAGGAAAAGGTTAAGGTGTTGTAAACGTGCAGTAATCCTCGTTCTATACGTTTTCTCCACATCTGGATACATCAGAACAACTGACCGAGCATATTACATCTTTCAAGTGAAAGATTGTTGCCATAAAGAAACTTGCTTAGTCTTGTGCAACTGAAAATCTAGAAAAGAGAATGAAAGTTAGCATAGATGTACATGTGTGAAAAGGAAATGTTTAAATTAATAACAAGCAAATAACACAGACAACTACAAAGGTTTAAAAATAATAGTTCAGATCAGCCTTAAATTGCTGATACATACAATATACAGTTTTTTTTTCCTTTCCTCAACAGCACAGTTCCATTACCACGCTTATTATTCATATTGAATCCAATATTCACTTCAGTCCAATAGTTCTTAAACCAATATAGCCAGCTGTAGAGCAACAGAGGGAGAGGGATGCTAACAGCACAGGTCATTTTAGGGTTAGCTGCAAACCAGATACAAAAAAACCATTATTTCTCTCTCTCTCATGGTGTGCAGAGAGATACCTGGAGTGTAATGTGCAGTGTGTGTGTACTACAGGTGTATGAATGTGTATGTGCTTGTAAACTATATAGAACCCTGCAGTAATTACATTTCCTGTTTATCTTATAGCTGTACCTGTCTTTGTTGTGCCACAGCTTTCTGGAGCTAGCCAGGAATGCCATTACAGCGCTGTCCGACTTCAGTTCTTCCTACACAGACTTCAGACGGACAGAGATACATTCCAACGCTATACTAACAAGCACGTGTGCGTTTGTGGCTGGTGTTGTTATTGCTGAATACATGGCATGCTGGAAGTCAGCCAGAGCTGGGTGTGTTGAGAGGACGTCATATTGAATGCCGTGCACCAGGCATGATTTTTCTATTCATTCAAATTACCACGTTCTACATCAGTTGACGGCACAGCAGGTGGCCCTGGTGGTGCAGAGGCTACTGTCTGCAAATTCTCAAAGCATCTTTCTTGTTGTTGATACACGGTGGGGAAATGTGAGGAAATAGCTTACAATTAAAGCTTTCAGATAAAATTAATAATTATTAATACAGGTTGATTTAACCATTGAAAGAAACAACCATTTTAATTTATCTTGCAGTTACCACCCCTTGCAAGTAGTGGTTGGAACTGCAGCACGCTCAGCACCCCTCAGTGTCTCCTGTTGAATACGCACACTCTAGCTTCGTTTAAGGATATGCTTACTTTGCCACTTGTGAGATGAATCAAACTAAACTTGTGCAGAATGATCGTATAGATGTTAACTGAGACCAAACTTGGCTTTTTGGGAGGGAGTGAATCTTGCCAGTTTTCTTTTAGAGATCAAATCTCGATCGCAAGTCTGAGATTCAGCGATTTCTATTAGCTTCAGAAATCACTGCACACGCAAAAGAATATATGTAATGTGATGGGATTTTTAAGCGTTAAGAGGGACTGATGCCGACATTCATGAGCTCTTGTGGAGACGTTGCTCTGAAATAAGATTTTCTAAAAGAAGTGGAGAGAGTCTTTAGTCTAGCTGCTAGGTAGAGCCTGAGCCTTCAGCTCGACATACCTATTGTATTTCTCAGCCGTCTCATTTTCCTCCAGCTCGTGTCGTGTGTGTGGGTGTGTGACACCAAAATTCTGCCTTCTGACGTCCGAATATTCCTGAAAGAAACAAAAAAGTCTGTCAAATTAGATATTTTTTAGATCTGATTGTAAAGGTTTAGGATAATTAACAGGGTTGCAGTGGAGAAATATGGAAGTCAATACCTGCATGTCCTCGACAACATTGGGATCCTGTATTGTGTGTATGTGTGTGTGTGTGTGTGTGCGCCAAAAGAAAGAGGCATCATGGGCCCTGGATGCAATTAAGAGCCTGTCAAGCTGGTGTCAAAGGTGCACACAAACCCACCCATGCAAGCGCCCCCC